ATATTATGACATTTGAATAATTTGCTTCATTTAAATATGAAAATTTACCTTATAAATTGTTCGGATTGATCCTCCCCCTTAACTCGCACGCTCCTCCAACTTCTCCTTCGAATATGAAATCATTAATTGTTAATCTTCATTTCAATAAAACTTGCCAATAATGTTATTAAACACACCCACAATTATAACACATTCATATAACAATATACAACAAACCAAACAACAACATATTGTGTGATGAAAAGTACCGCTTAGACTGAAAGGAAAATTTTATAAGATGGTGTTGAGACCTGCAATGCTTCATAGTGTGGAATGTTGGCCTTTAAAAGAGAAGCATAATGCTAAGTTGAGTGTTGCCGAGATGAAATTGATTAGGTGGATGAGTGGCTTTACACAGAGGAAAAATGTGAAATGAATATATCCGTGCTAAGGTTGGTGTAGCTCCACTGAGGGACAAAATTAGAGAGAGTCGTCTTAGATGGTTTAGTCACATTAAACGTCGACCATCTGATGATTAGGTTTGACTTATGTTAAGAAAGACCTAGGAAGACTTGGGTTTATTGTATAAAAAATGATATTAATTTAATAGAATTAAATGAAAATATGTATAAAAAAATGATATTAATTTAATAGAATTAAATGAAAATATGATACTAAATAGAACACAATGAAGGAAAATGATTCATGTTGCCGATCCCACTTAGTGGGATTAAGGTTTTGTTGTTGTTGTACATATTTAGATAACAATATAAATAAATTAATTTATTAAAAATCTCAATATACCTTATAAACTTTTGACCTGCACTAACTCACGTGGGCTCAGCAGCAGGGAGCTTTCCACTTCTTCTCCTTCAATTTCTGTGCGATCCAGAACCACATGTAAGGATCGTCGGCTCTCATTCTCCTCTCAACAGAGCAGAAGATCTCCTTCTTCCTCCTTTTCTTCAACTTCTTTTCTTTCGCACTGCACCAACAAGAAGCTGTAGTTTCTCCTCGATCGTGGTGTGGTCCAAGTAGGTCATCAATGTCGCCGCCTCCCTCTCCTTCCTCTGCCTTCGATCTCGACACAATACCGAAATTTCTTCTCGTTCCTCTTCTACTTCACAGGGCCCGACATTGACAGTGGTCACGCTTCTTCCTGCGAATTCTTCCTTCTTCGGCTAGGGCAAGGTAGCTTCTCCTCTCTCGATCTCTCCCGTTACCTCTCACTGCTCGTTCGTTGAATAGGATAATTGTGAAAAATCGTATGTTATGATTCGTTTAGGGTTACGACTTTTTTAACGTGCACCTTTTTATTTATTTAATTTATTATTAATATTATTTTTTTCTGTTATTACAAAAGGTCGGGGGAAAGTAGTTTGCCTAACTATTATAGTGTCAAATTGTCAATGATGCAAAGTTGCTATGAAGATCCATTTAAAGTTACAGCCAGGTTTACACCTCAATCTTAACTTGCTCCTCATAAAGACAACATCGCTTAGTTTTATGATACTCTTAATTTGAAGGTAAGCAGAGGAAAAATGCTTAATCATGAATATGCCCAAAAATTGGGTGTTGAGGTCTCAATGTGTTGTAGGGCTATCATCGAATAACATTCTAATCGATATAAGAATGTTTCCCACGAACATTGCTGAATTGATAGGTCCTCAAAGGTTTAAGATAATACAGATAAAATAACATTTTAATGTTGTACCAAAAAAATGACACAAAAATAAGTTAAAAATTATAGAAGACAATTTATAAGTGAGAAATACAAAGAGGGGAAAGTCATAGGATTTGACCAAATCAAAATAATATCACTAGCGTGAGTTCATTCCCCATACTTAGATAAGGAGCTAAAATAAGGAAACTGACGTAAACCATGAAACTTGGAGTTGTCATAATGCAAAAAAGGTAGACAACGATTGATGAAAAAGCCGGGAGAGGGAAAATGATGGATGCTCAATTCTGTTATCCTCATAATATGAAGGACATTATATGCCTGGGGAAGCAAATGTTGAAAGTTGGTGGTTGAAGGACATCAGACATGGGTCATTGACAAGCGTCAAACGAAGATCAATAAAGAACATGGCATTCGGCATGGGCGTCCTTCTGATAGTAATCAAACAATCAAGAAGAAGGGCATCAAACATTGATGGTTGATATAAAATAAATGTCAATTATTTACAAACATCGAGCATAAATCAAATAGAGATAATAAATATTAGGCTTCGTTGGGCAATCGATCAGTTATTCTTGATGCGAGGGAGACTAGACAATCAAGAAGATAGGCGTGTCTCGAACATTGGCAAGCATCAAGCAATGCTTAGGGAACATTAGATGTCATCTTCATTCTTGTAATAGGATAGAAGATTAGGTGACCAAGAAGATGGATATCTGAAATCAATGATTGGCGAACTTTGATCATTTGATCAATATATAACATCAAAAGGCAAACAATAATAAGGTGCAATCGAACCGCTTGTCTTTCTCCTAATGGGAGGGGAGATTGGTAATCACAAGATAGGCAACAAATATTGATGACCGAGAAATACAAGATGTCAGCCAATAATAGACATCGAGCGACAGTCAACAAAAAAAATTATATTTTGGGTGATTATGGGCAGTTGAATAGACCGTTCTCCTAAGAAAATGAAAGATCATATGAAAAAAAAAATATGTTCTAACATTTATGGTTGATGAGCATTAGACATCAATTGTTGGCAAATATCAAGTGATGGTCAACAACAAGCATCAAGCATTGACATTGGTCAACTGGCATTGGATGAAGGGCAATAATGTGTCAATGTCAATTGATGACTATCATTAGGCGACCGACAACAATAGGCATTCATCAATCAATAAATGACAATAATGTTAGATAACAGATAATGTTAGATGTCAAAGTCGAACAATAAATCATGGTGAGTGCCACCATCGATCAATTTTTAATGTCCTGCAAATGCTTCAAGAGACTACAGACACAGCTATAACATTCTCTTCGAAACCAAAATTTCTCTTTGCTGGAAAAGCCTTCCCTGAAAGTGTAAAATCAAAGCCTATTTATAGATTTCAATAAAGCTTCTTTGGTTATTTCTACATTAATCTTGAATATTTCATCAGATCTTTTGAATAAGATGCATATGATCCTTTCATGCTTTTAGGACATTTCACTAGTTTGATGAACTCGAAATATGTGGCCTTGGGCTCATTGAATTGTTCTTGTTGAGACGATTGTTTCGACTATAAGCACATAGTATTTGAAGGTCATTTATCCCCCTCAAATGGCCACAAGAAGTTTCAACTATGGTTCTAAGTGCTTGATTCAGGGCTATTCATATCCCGATTTGGTTGTTCTTGGTATCATTAGGCTCAATGAGGGTAAAAAAGCTATCTCGATTATATATTTACTAAATTGCGTTTGAATTGTGTTTGATCACCCAAATATTTAGCATAAGTTTTTCACCAAGATTTTAAATGCTATAAAGACCATTTTTTAGCTGAAATTTGTGTGCAGTCTAATGACAGAAACTCTTATTTCATACTAACAAAGTTATTTTAACCAATCCAAGTTCCATAGTTTTTTCGCCCGTACGAAAACCTTCTTTTTCAGTTTTGTACTTTTTAAACTTGCATAGGTGAGACGATATTGTATATCTATAAGTAATAAATTATCATTACTATCTCAAAATTTCCAACATTAAGTAATAAATAATCAATTTGATAATCTTTCACTTCTCAAATTGCTTAAGGACTTAAATCAGTTTCAGAATGAGATTCTTTAATATAGCATATAATGTACAATCAATAGAAAACTCCATTCTATTGTAATTATTATAAATAATCAAGCTGGAAAGAATTTTCTCTATACAAATTATTAATATATTAAATTAATCAAAAAATAATAATTTTAATTATTCTTTACATTAAAATATGTTGGTATTTTAATTATTGATCTAATTTCAAATATGATAATTATTCAATCAATTAAAACAACTATTTGAGAAATATATCACAAATATCAATGGTTTCAATCAATCATATTATAAGATAATATTAAATTTTATTAATTTTATACTTTAATGTAATCCCATATAACAATCATGAAAATTAATATAAGACAAAACCTAAAATAATTATTATAATTTTTTTCTCTATACATTTCATGGGATTATTTTCTTGTAAAAATGTAATGCTCCCGACAACATAAAGAGGCCATCTAAAAAGACGACAAAAACAAGAAAAAAAAAGAAAAAATTTCCATGAAACTAAGAGCTTATTAAGAGAGTAACTTCTTAAACTCATCATTTAGAACTACAAAGAAAGGGAAAACAATGACATGAGAATTACCTCAGGAGAATTCAGATCCACAACAGAATTTTCCACAACCTTTTTAAATGCTCCAGCCACAACACTGAAACATTTATTCCTTTCCAACAGAGCAATGCAGTTCTTATTCTTCAACTCTGTCTCCTCAATGCCTCTTCTGTTAAAACCAACTGCAAACTGTGTTGATGATGAGATCATCACAATAGGTTTAATAATTTAATTTAGCAATAAATCAGATAGTTAATATAGCAAATCAGACAATTATCACCAAAAATATAAATGGAGCATTTACAAACATACCGCCCAATTTTTATGCGTTTACATATCTAACACGTGAACTTATTACATTTCTACCACCCAAAGCTTTCATATCACTTCAAAAATACCCGCATTTTAACTTTTAAAAAGTGAAATTACACAATTTCATGCATAGGTATCGCGGTATGTTTGTAAAAATTGAAGTTGAGGTGTTAGATATGTAAATTCAAAAGAATTGAGTGATATGTATGTAAATCTTCCAATATATATTTGGAATTATGAAATTAGAACCAAAAATAGGTCAAATTTCAAGTCATTTGCAAAATATTGGAGTTTTTAAACAATATATATAGAAGATATAAATAACAAATGTTGTTCTCAGAAATGAATTCAAATGGTATCTATTTAGGGAGTGCACAAGACTAGTAATATTCGTGAAAAAATTAAAAAGGATTGAAGATATTAGCTTGAAGATCATTTTTACTCTATATGGACTCATCTTTGTCACTCAACCTATATAGATTGCACTAAATATATCACTTCACGAACCCTTTTGACTATAAATAGGCTTACAGATGTCGCCCTACTTCTATAATTTATTATAAACATATCAATTTGAAGATCAGTTTGATTTTATATGAGCTCGCATTAGCTATCCGACATGTAAAGATTGTCATAATTATATCATTACATAGATAACCTCTCTTAAGCTCATTTATTTTCATAAAGAACATTTGAGTGCATACATCATTCATTTTCATTGCAATACATTTAAATATATAAATCTTTCATGTTAAATATGTTGACGAACTTCATGCTTCAAATATATATGTTATAAATACATGTTGTGAGTTATGTGTAATTAGAAGATTTTATTGGATTTATTTGTTAAATATTATAACAGCTATTTAAACACATATGTTGAATGAAATAAAAAGTTTTTCAAGAGCAGTCAATTCTTTATAGTATCAGAGCCTAACCCTAATGGTTAATCGGAGTGCATCATCGACTTCGCGAGCAACGTTTTTATCACGAAACAATCGCGATTAGAGCTAACTGGAACTGGTGGCCTGCTCATCACGAAACCGTAGTGATTCAGACGGATGGCCTATTCATTGCGAAACCATCACGATTAAAGCTAGTTGGAACATCAACGAAGGTATCGGGCGATCAAAGCCGAAATAGAAGCCAAACAAGTCGCAATTAGAGCTAACTGGAAGACAAAAAAGAGATTGCGAGTCGCGATTAGAGATGATAACGATAGATGCTCGTGAGGCGCGACAGTACAGAAGGAGAGGGACGGTTTGACGGGCTCGGTTGTGTGGAACGTCAAAGAAATTGTGGGGAAGGCTTCAGTTGTTTGTGCGGGGAGGATCGGGCAGAGGGTCTTGCAGAATGGCTTGAGCAGCTCGGGCGTGGCTTCACTTAGGTTGAAGCGCGTGTGAAGCCAAGTGGTGGAGGAGAAAATTTTGGCTATTGTGCATGAGAGGACAACGAAAGTTGGGGAATAGTAATATTGAGGACGTCAGGGGACAGAGATAGTGGGAGGTAAAGGTTTGAAACTTTTTGGTAAGATAGATCCTGAGGTTTTGATCGGGCTCATACATAAAGCTAATGTCTCGACGAGAATTACTACCTCAACAAGTGCTCCGACACAGGTGAAACTGGATCTCTCTCCTGTGGATCTAAAGCTTGATGGACCGGCCACGTATCTAAGTTAGTCACGTCGGATCGAGGCTGCTTTAATAGGGAAGAGACTAAAAGAATAACTAACGGAAGTCCAGCCCAAGAGTGACAGTGTTGACAGGGATGAGTGGAGGACTGCACATGCATTGATTTATACTTGGCTACTCAATTTGTCGGTTTTATCAATTGTGACATCAGTGGATAGCATTCGCAAGGTGAATGACATATGGGCAAAGCTGAAGAGAACATATACTGGGACTGAGAACCACATGAGGGTGTTCCAGATTCAGCGCGACAAATAGATAGTGATACACGATGATAGATCAATTCAGGAGTACTCCATAGTGTTGGAGCGACAGTGGAAAGATTTTGATCACTTCTCACCTATGTTAAGTTGTGATGATCCGGGGAGCAAGAAAGGGAAGATCTTTGCACAGATGAGGACTATGTCATTTCTGACTCATATGAACTAATTTTTTTATCATAGGAGATCGGTCCTCCTAGACCAGGCAACAATTCCTTCATTAGATGAGGTTAGCGCTGCTATGTTGCGGGAAGAGAGTCACATGAAACTACACTTTGAGTCGAGTGGTCTTCTAGGTGCACGATCAGCTTTGGCTGCCTAGAGCTCATGTCCGACAAGTGCCCAGAGGGAGACCTGAAGGCGCTACAACTGTGGAGAAGCGGGACACCTGACCAAGGCTTGTCCAAAATTACCCAAAGAGAGAGAGACTAGTGGACAAGGACACTGTAGAGGTCGTGGTCGAGTTCGTGGGTGTCGGAAAGGTGAAAGAAGGTGCTACCAGGCAAATCTGACGATAGTCGAGGATGAGAGAGAGACAAGTGTGATCTTTACTACTGAAGATTATTAGTGTTTAGAGTTATTGAAGAGAAAGCAAAAAGCAACAAGAAGTGGAGCCGAGGATGTTTAAAATCCATCGACATCAAGGGGTAATGTTGTAAATTATGCCCACTTCACAAAGGTACTGGTAACACACTTGTTCTTGCCTCTATATTCACTACAGGATCATTAGAATGAATCATAGATTATGATACTTCTCTTCGCGTGACAGATACTTCTAGGGAGTTCTCTTCATATACTCATTTAGCAATACCAAAGAGTATAGAGGTTGTTGATGGTACAGCGCAAGTTGTAGTTAGTAAGGGTACAGTGAGATTTACCAATCATGTGACTTTGTTAAATATTTTGCATGCTTCTTTTTCAGTAAATCTCTTATACATTAGTGTCATTATTCTCTAGTTAAAATGCATTATTTCTTTTGATATTCCTTAGATAATCTTCCAAGAGAAAAGGAAGAGTCGGACACTTGGGATTGGAACGTGGCAAAGCGGACTCTGTTACTTGGACTGAGAAGAGATGGACTTAGCTCTGCCATCCATGGTGGAAAGTGTTGTAGTAGGAGAATCTAGGAGGAACGTCGAAGATGTGTTACTTCTACAACATAGACGTAAGGGACATTCTAGTTTTAAGTTATTGAGTCAATTGTATCCATCTATGCATGAAAAGTCACGTAAGGAGAAACCGGTGTGTGATGCTTGTGAGTTTGGCAAATTCACTAGGACCTCTTATGTCAGTTATGGGAATCGGAGCTCTGGTGTATTTGATTTGATACATTCTGATGTATGGTGACCATGTCCTACTAGTTTTATGAATGAAATAAAGCATTTTTCAAGAGCAATCAATTCTTTAATGTGAACTATCCTACTTATAAAATGTGTCAATTTCATGAAATGTTAACATGCATTTAATACTTCAATTCATGTTTTTCATGCTTTGATTGCAGGCTCACTTCTAAATATTTGATAGGTAACAATTGTGCAAAACTACAATATAAAGAAATTTCTAGCATATGGTTTATGTACAAATTTAACTTATCAAATTTAAAGTCCAATAATTAAAATAATTTGCTCACTAAATTACCAACTGATAATTGATCACAGAAAATACTTTGTTAAGATCACCCTGAAATCTCTTTCATTTGTAAATAATCTAAAAAGGAATAGATGCCTAGCTTTCAACCATATTCCTTTCCAACTTGATTTAAATCAATTTAATGTCCCATTAACATTTTTATCCAAAAAGTATTTATCCTCACGCAAGCATTGATGCTTAATAACCTCAAATCAAAATCATCAGGTTGAAGGAAGATTTTACCCTAAGAAGCCTTATGACGCTTAGCTATAGCGTACAACTGGTTGACTTTATCAGTTGCAACCAAATTCCATAAATTTTCTACATATAAGGTGAGAAGATGCCTTCAATATGCATGCATGTGTTAGGAGAGGCCAAAAGTCAACTGCTTGCTGCATGGAATTACTTGCAGTAAGCAAATGCACAAAAGTTCATAATGATATCTAAAGACAATCGGTACAAGAATGCTACTCTTACATTAGTAATAGGGCTGGCAGAAAAGCTTATCGTTCACTAACAGCTTGTGTTCAGTTCGCTAAGTAGTTCATATTTGTTGAAAGATTTCGAAAATACTAATGATTACATTCTATATTTGTTATATATATTTAGAGGGTTATAATATTTAGAGGGTTATAAATTATATGAGGGATCTTAGGAATCTCAATTTATTTCTCTTTAAATTAGTATATTTTGTTATTATTCATTTCTTTTTCTATTATGTTTTATTTTTACTGATTTCCTTACCAGTAAGTCCTGTAAAGGGCATTTACACTCTTCTTTTCATCAATAAAATCAAGTCCTCTCATATCTTCTCATGGTATCAGAGTCGTATCAATCTTCTTCGGTATGACTTCTTCTTCTTCCTCCCAAGTCCTCCGCCTCATCTGCCCATGTTCCAATCGGAATCGATGGCACTTCCTCCCTCATCACTGGTCATAAACTCAACGGCCAGAACTAACTCCAGTGGTCTCAATCCGTCATGATGTTTATCTGTGGCAGAGGCAATGACAACTATATCACCGGTGATGTCGTCGCTCCGACCAAGGATGACACAAAATTTCGGACATGAAAAGAAGAAAACCACATGGTCATGTCGTGGTTAATTAATTCCATGACCAACATCGGCGAAAATTTTGTTCTCTACGGCACGGCCAAGAGTATTTGGGATGCTGCTCGAGAGACATACTCGCACTCAGATAACACATCCAAGCTCTTCGAGATTGAGTCAATCCTCCACAATCTTCGCCAAGGTGATCAATCTGTGACTCAGTATTTTAATATCCTCTCACGTTACTGGCAGCAGGTTGACATGTATGAAGTTCATGTCTGATCATGCACTCCGGACTCCAACTTATATCGTTAGATCATCGAGCAGAAAAGGATATTTAAATTCCTTCTCGGCCTCAACAACTCTCTTGATCATGTTTGTTCTCGTGTATTAGGCTTCAAACCACTACCGAGCATTCGCGATGCCTTCTCCGAGGTTAGCCGCGAAGAAAGCCGCCAGAAAGTCATGCTTTGGCTTAATCTCCAATTCGCTTAATCTCTCAGTTGACGCCTCCGCACTTGCAGCTCGGGTTCCTTCGCCTCGACACAGCGACAACTCATCACCTAAGGGTCGTCCCTAGTGTGACTACTGCCGTAAACCAGGCCATAATAAAGACACGTGTTGGGTGCTTCATGGAAAGTCAGTCGATTGGAAGCCTCGGTCTAATCGCGCTTCCCCTGGCAACAGCATCGTCGTTGTCGATGATCTTTCTGCACCAGCGCCAAGTCCATTCAGCAAAGAGCAACTAGATTTGCTGCACAAACTGATCGGCAAACCATCGATTTGGTTGTTCCCGACAACATCATCGGCCTGCTCGCGCATCAAGGTACGTTCTATCATGCCTTCACAGTCAATCAAGGATCTCTCGGTCAGTGGATCATCGATTCCGACACTTCTCATCACATGGCTGGCGATGTCTCCCTTCTCCACGACTATATGTCGTGTGGAGACAACTCCACCATCTGCATTGCCGATGGTCTGTCTCCAAAGTCGCCGGCTTTGGCTGCGTGCGCATCACCCAAAACAGTCTACTCCGATTTGTGCTTCATGTTCCTACTTTAAATTACAATTTAATATCCATCGGAAAGTTGACTAGAGATCTGAGGTGTATTGCTAAATTTTTCACTACCACATGTGAATTTCAAAATGCAGACTTGGGGACAATGATTGGCAATGTTGAGTTGTGCTCGGGTCTCTACGTCATCAACGGTACTTCACCACCACGACCTCGCTGCGGCCATTTGTCTGCCCATCATTTTGTCTTCAATTCTAGTGTCAATAAAGATTCTGAGATCATGTTATGACATTTTTTTCTCAGTCATCCAAATTTTATCTATCTTGCAAAACTATTTTCAAATTTATTTATCAATAAAGATGTTAATTCTTTTCAATGTGAAAATTGTCAACTTGCTAAACACACTCGCACGTCATTTCCATATGTTAGTTACACCTCTTCTCGGCCCTTTGCACTCATTCACAGTGATATGTGGGGTCCATCCTATGTTACAACCCTTACCAAGACTAGGTGTTTTGTCTCCTTTATTGATGATCACACTCGACTAACGTGGCTATTTCTTATGAAAGATAAATCTGCAGTCGGTCACATATTTGAACAATTATTTGTCACATATTTGAACAATTTTGTCCGATGATCCAAACACAATTTCAAACATCCATCCAGGCACTCAAGACTGATAATGCAAAGGAGTACTTCGCTTCCGTCCTCGACTCTTATCTCTCCTCTAAAGGCATCCTCCATCTCAGTTATTACGTCGACACTCAACAAAATGGGATCGTCGAACGCAAGAACCGCCACTTTCTCGAGGTGGTCTGCTGCCTCATGTTGTCCTCTAACTTGCCTAAGGTTTTTTGGGGTGACGTTGTATCCACTACAGCCTACCTCATCAACAGGATGCATTCTCGGGTCCTCAAATTTCAAAGTTCAGTCCAACTCCTTCTCAAATCAGTTCCCCACACTAAAGCAAACTTGACCCCAAATCTACTAAATGTATTTTTCTCGGCTACTCGCCTATTCAAAAAGGGTATAAGTGTTACTCTCATCTCACTAGAAAAACCTACAACACTATGGATGTCAAATTCTTTGAAAATCAGCCATACTACCCCAATTCTAATATACAATTGGAGACTTTAAGGGAATATCAGTCTTGGGGGGACAACGATTTCATACCACCACACACCAAATCCTGGTCCCTTGAACCGAACTCATTATCTCCCAACTCGGATTCAGCAAGTTCATCCAAGTCACATGAAAATGTACCTAACAATTAGTCTCCAGCTAGTCCTCAAGTGTCTAACTTGCACATAGATCACCCAACACATCCAACACCAATCCAAGAGTCAGAACCGGATCCAACTCCTACAGAAATTCACTCAAGTACGAACACACTTGAACATGAATCTACTATAACTATGATTGATGACTCTGACATTCCAATTGCTTTAAGAAAAGGTGTTAGGTCCATCCGACCTCCAATTAGGTACGAACACATGATGCATCTGATCTCCAACTTTGTGTCCTATGAAAGACTATCTTCAGTCTACCAAGCCTATATCACTGCATTCGACAATACACAAGTCCCAAACACCATAGATGAAGCTCTCAAACACCCGGGGTGGAAAGCGGCCATCAATGAGGTAAGAGCCCTACAAAAGAATTATACATGAACTGTTTCAGACCTGCCAAAGGGAAAGAAAGCAATCAGCTGCAAATGGATCTTCAAAATCAAATACAAGGCAGATGGTACAATTGAGAGATTAAAAACACGTCTTGTGGCAAAAAGTTTTTCACAGTCCTACGGTATTAATTACCAATAAACCTTTGCTCCTGTGGTCAAACCTCACACCATCAGAATCTCTCTCAATGAAGACTGATAGCTAAATCAACTTGTTGTGAAAAATGATTTCCTAAATGGCAATTTGGAAGAAAAAGTTTACATGGAAGCACCTCCTGGACTAGAAGCATCATTTCCAAACAACAAAGTCTGCAAACTCCAAAAATCATTGTACGGCCTCATATCATTGTACGGCCTCAAACAATCACCCCGAGCATGGTTCGATAGATTTGCAAAATCAATGACAAAATATGAGTATATTCAGTGTTAGGCAGATCACACTCTATTCGTGAAAACCTCTCCTGAAAAGAAGATTGCAATTCTAATCGTATACGTCGTCGATATCATCCTCACTAGAAATCACGAAGAAGAACTCACAAATCTGACAAAGCTTCTTAATCGGGAATTCAAAATCAATGAACTTGGAAACCCAAAGTTCTTTTTTGGCATGGAACTAGCTCGATCAAATGAGGAATATCGAAAATATACATTGGACCTGTTGAAGGAAACAGGTATGCTCGGTTGCAAACCCGTCGATACTCCAATGGATCCCTACAAGAAGATAGACACTGAGAAAAATAATGCACCTGTGGATAGGGGGAGATATCAGTAACTCGTGGGGTGACTCATCTATCTATCACACACACGACCCGACGTTGGTTTTTGTGTTAGTGTTGTTAGCCAATTCATGAACAGCCCTACGGAAGAACACGTGAATGCAGTTTACAGAATCTTGAGATACCTCAAGATGACTCCAGACAAAGGGATACTGTTTCAAAGTAATAAAGATCGAAGTATAGAAGTGTATTCAGACACAGACTGGGCAGGGGATGTCTCGAACTGCGATCGACTTCCGGCTATTGCACTTATGTATGGGGAAACCTAGTCACTTGGAGAAGCAAAAAATAGTCTGTGGTATCAAGAAGCAGCGCTGAAGCTGAATTCAGAGCTCTTGAACTCAGGATCTATGAAGGAATGTGGATTCGAAGAATACTCAGCGAACTCGGAATGCTAACTGAAAAAACTATCAAACTACAATGCGACAACCGGGCAGTCATCAGCATTGCAAAGAATCCAGTACATCATGACAGAATGAAACACATCGAGATCAATCGGCACTTCATCTCAGAAAACATTGAGAGAGAGGTCGCCGAACTTGCATTCATTCCTTCCCGACATCAAACAGCAGATATCCTCACTAAGCCTATCCCAAGAATCAACTTTGAAGAATTAGGTAATAAGTTGGGCATATACAATCTGTACAACCCAACTTGAGGGGGAGTGTTAAAAGATCTCGAAAATACTAATGATTATATTTCATATTTGTTATAACTCTATATTTAGAGGGTTATAAATTATATGAGGGATCTTGGGAATCTCAAAAAATCGAACAAGTCGAATATGAACAAGAATCAGACTCGCTGAAATTCGGCTAATTTAAACCTCTAATTAGTAATAAGTAATGTTCACAATATCCCTAAAAGTAGTTATAGCAGTGATAATGACCAATTAAACCAAGATCAAAAAAGATGACAGTTGATGTAAAATATTCCAAAATACCCATTTTTTTTTCCTTTTATCTTTTGCATCAAAGTAAAATTATAAAATTAACCAATTTCCATATAACATGTATAAGTTTAACTACTCTTCGCAGATCAGGTTCGAAAGTTAAAATATCTGACATCTAAATTTAATTTTTTACATGTATCAACCTAATCCGTACATGAAAAGGTGTATTTCAATATTTAAATGTTAAAATAATAGACTTTTTTATTTATTAAGAAAGATTTGGGTGGTATAAATGTATATATCAAAATTTAGGTGTTAGACATGTAAATACATAAGAATTGGGTGATATGTATGTAAATGTCGCTAATGAAAATGACAACCATACCATCCAGTATAAATACGAGCGAATATTCTTTCATATCATAATTATTTGCAATAATCACTTCAGCAACAAAAGTCACATGAGTAGGAAAATAAAAAGGGAAATTTATACTTAGCACACATTTCTTGTTTATTTACATATCTCACTCTTAAATTTACATATTTATATACATAGCATTTTGGCACTTTAAAACTACATATGAAAAGATGAATTTAACTTTTAAAAAGTGATAATAATACTATTTTTGAAGTGATATTAAAAATTTGAGTGATGGATTTGTAAATAGGAATGTTTTGATGGGATTTATGTTAATACAAAAGAATTGTGTGCTATGTACGTAAACGCCCGTAATAGAGTGAAATAAGATAATAGAAGATACTATCAACGCTACCTTAATTGATTTTTGGGGTTTGTCAAATTGACAGCTAAAATACCACTGTGCAAGCCTAGTTACAACTGCCTGTACGTCCTTCTCTGTCAAGCAACAAGTTTCTTGAATAGGAAGTATGCGGTGGCACCAGCTGTTCAAAGGGAAATAATGTCATTTTGAATTTTATTACAGAACTAACCTTTGGAAAATAATGAATGACAATAAGCAATTTACAAACAGTAAATTGTAAAATACAAGTTGAATGCAATAACAATTTGGTGCAAAACAATTTTTTTCTCATGAAGACGCCAAAAATTCCACAGGTTCACAAACTTAGGGGGTGTTTGGGATCATTGTTGTACTTTATTTTTATTTTTTGTTGTTTTATTTATGTTTTGATATAAAATATAATATATTTGGTAATAATAGTTGTTATTAAAAATATTCAAAACACTTAAAAAAAAATTTAATGTTTTTAAAAATAAATTAACTTTTTAATATAAAAAAAATATAGAAAGAAAAAGTACCAAAAAAGGATTTTTTAAAAAACAAATAGAAACAAAAGATAAAATTGATCATAATCATGCATTTAGAAAATTCAAGGGGATACTACATACAGAACACCCGAAAATTCCAATTTACAAATCAACCATCCTCATTTTTTAAATTCTCACTCAAATATCAAAATTCATGGTAAAACCCCAACCATATTTTTCATTTTTATCAAATTCTCAATATCTTGATCGTGGCGTACGTAAATCATCGGTTTGGTAGTTCAAAAAAATCATCTGGGCGGTTAATTTAAAAATATCAGTATTTCAGGTGGTTTAAATGTAATTATCCAGAAATTTCAAAAGCCTTCATAATCACATATAATAGAAATTACCACTCAAAAAACCACCTTCATTTCATTTATGACGGGCTTATATAGAGCCTTACAAGTTACAACATTTATAAATAAATCCCTAGACTTCATCTATTTACATATAGGACGCTACAGTAGATACAAATCTCAATATTCCCCCTTAAGATGGGCAAAACATATTCACTAAGCTCATTCTAATGAGCTAAGTCCTTCGGTGAAACAGTCAACCACTTGCTTTTCCTTGACGAAGGATCCATCAATCTCCACATGTTTGGTTCTATCATGTTGCACCGGGTTCTTGGCGATGTTTATCGCTGGCTTGTTGTCGTACCACAACTTCATTTGAGCTGCTTAGTCCACCTTGAGCTCTTTTTACCAACCAGGCTCATATCAACATCATCTCAGCAGATCCTAAGACCACGACCCCCCTATACTCTACCTTTGCTATTGACCTCACTAGTACCGACTATTTATTGCTCTTTCAAGAGACCAAGTGGCCCCCTACGAACATACAGTATGCAGATGTGGAGCTCCTGCCATCAGCACAACTCGCCCAATCCGAGCAACAATAGCCCTCAATGCCTACATGTTCATTCTTCCTTAAGATCAACCCCTTCTCTGGTGCACTCTTCAGGCACCTCAGAATCCAATAAGCTGCATCCATATGACCCTTCCTTGGATCATGTATATAAGGGCTCACCACGCTCACTAAAAATGAGATGTCAGGACGCGTGTGACTCAAATAAATCAGACGACCCACCAATCTCTGATATCTCTCACGATTAACTGGCTCTCCAACTTCTGCACTCAGCTTACCATTCTGATTAATTGGAGAGACTGCAGGCTTGCATCTCAACATGTTTGTTTCTGTGATGAGATCTAGTATAAAATTTCTCTGAGCCAAGACCATACCCTAGGGTCCACGGGTCACCTCAAACCCAAGGACGTATCTAAGCTGTCCAAGATCTTTCACCTCAAATTATTTGTCTCATCATCGCCAGTAATAATCACATCATCAACATACACAACAAACATAGTGATGTGACCACCATTTTGACGAAAAAACATCGTATGGTCGGCATTTGATATGTTAATATTCCATGTCCACCATAATTTTTCTAAACTTATCAAATCAAGCTCGAGAAGACTGCTTTGAACTATAAAGCAACTTCCTGAGCCTGCACACCTTGCTCATTATCTGATCTGTACTAAACCCTGGTAGTATGTCCATATAAACCTTTTCCACTAACTCATCATGAATAAAAGCATTCTTCACATTGAGTTGGTGCAACCTCCACCCACCATTCACAGCATGAGAAACCAATGTCCTCAATGTGCCATATTCACTACCGGTGCAAAGTTCTCGTTATAGTTGATGTCATACATCTGACTGTACTCTATCGCCACCAATTGTGCCTTGTAACACTCCACTTTCCCGTCTAGATTTTGTTTGGCTGTAAAGATTCACTTACACCCAACTGTTATTTCCCCGTTGCCAATGATACAATCTTCCACTTCTTGTTCTTATTGAGAGCACCAAGTTCCTCCAGCCTGGCAGACTTCCAATTTGGATCCTCCTTAGCTACCTATCAACACTTGGTATAAAAATAATGGTCAAAGATGCAATGAATGCTAAGTGTACATGCAATATGTAAAGTATGAGACAAACTGAGCAATATCATGAGAGAAGCCAAAACAATCAAGAGAATGACTTTTCATTGCTGCAAGAAGTCATCCTTAAAGCCATGGGAATGGGAGAAAAAGGGAGAGGAATCATATCACTGAGGTAATCGAATTCTGAAGTGGATGGTGTAGGTGTCTCAAGAGTCAGGGTAGTACCGGACAAGGGACTTGATATCATGAGAAGCACGACGGGCACCTTTCCTTCATTCTGCCTCTTCCTACTTAAATACACCCTCAGCTTCCCTTGAGCTTGAATCCCTCCAACTTCAGACTCATTTTCCTCGTTTTACGGCTCTTTCTCAGCCAATCCTTCCCACAAAACGGGACAAGGCATCGTTCCCACATGTATCAATCTCTAACCATCACTACTCTCCCACTCACGCCTCATACCTCCAGTATCTGACAAGTCACCAAAGAGTGAGGTCACCTATAGGGTGTAGTACAATTTGAGTTCTCTAGATGACACATCTATGCTCACAAACAATCTCTTCTTTATCGGACTCCATCAAACATATCCTGTTTGGGTAGCATAATAACCCATGAAAACACACTTCACAGCTATAGCATTCAGCTCCCTTACTGATGGCTACCTGCCATTCACAAAACATACACAACTAAAAAACTTCAATGGGAAGATCCCGCCATTATCTCCTTTCATCTCACAAGGAGATTGTGACTCTAACACACTTAAAGGAAAATTGTTGATCAATTGAGGGGTTGTCAAAATTGTTTACCCCCATAAGTGCTTTGGGAAATTCATCAAGATCATCATGCTTTCATCTACCTCTAGAAAGTGTCTGCTCTTCCTCTCCGATACTTTGTTTTGTGTCAATGTGTACGAACGAGTGGTTTAATGTTGTATTCGCTGGCATGTACTCCCCAAATGTCTTATTAGTATAATTTGTTTAATTATCAGACCTCAATATTTTCACTACTGCACCGTATTGAATCTAAATTGCCATGTGAAAGTCTTTAAAGCAAGCATTTACATCACTTTTAATTTTCATCAGATATAATAAAAAACATGAGAAAAATAATATATGAAATTCAAAAAATATCTATAATTATTCACCGAAGTTGTGGAACAAGGTCCCCATTTATCAGAATGCACCAAATTAAAAACACAACTTCTATAACCAAAACTAACATAAGAGTTCCTAATATGCTTGTCCAACTCGCATGCATCACACACATGTTTTTGTTTTTGCCTTCTTACACAAATACGGATACAAATAGCTCAAAAGACTAAACGAAGAGTGTTTCAAACGTCTGTGATGTCGCAACAACACATCCTCTATACTTCTCCCGGATCCTCCTACTCTACCACACCCTACCATGGATGTCAGTGTTGAGTTCATCTCTTCTTTATCCAAGTACCAGAGTCTACTATGTCATGTGTCAGTCTCAAGTTTCCAGCAGTTCCCTTCTCTTGAAAAATCACCTTAGGAATATCTAAAGAAACACTACATTTTAGTTGAAGAATAATGACACAAATGAATAAAATGTTTAGAGTAGGAGGATCCGGGAGAAGTACGGAGGATATAATTTAAAGGTAATATCTAAAGTATCACTTTTAATTTTTATCAAATATAACCAAACAACACGAAAAAAATAATATATGAAATTCATAAAATATATTTAATTATTCACCGAAGTTGTGGAACAAGGTCCCCATTTATCTGAATGCACCAAATTAAAAACACAACTTCTATTACCATAACTAACATAAGAGTTCCTAATATGCTTGCCCAACCCGCATGCATCACACACATGTTTTTGTTTTTGCCTTCGTACACAAATACAGATACAAATAGCTCAAAGACTAAACGAAGAGTTTCAAACGCATGTGATTTCGCAACAACACATCCTCCGTACTTCTCCAGGATCCTCCTACTCTAGCACACCCTACCATGGATGTCAGTGTTGAGTTCATCTCTTCTTTATCCAAGTACCAGAGTCCACTATGTCATGTGTCAGTCTCAAGTTTCCAACAGTTCCCTTCTCTTGAAAGATCACCTTAGGAATATCTAAAGAAACACTACATTTTTGTTGGAGAATAAGGACACTAATGAATAAAAGGCTCACTGAAAAGAAAGGAGCATTCAAAACATTTGACAAAGTCATAGAATTGATACATTTTACTGTATCCTTACCAATAACAGGCTGTGTTGTACCATCAGTAGTCTAATGTTCTTTGGAACTGTTAAATGAGTATAGAAAGACAACTCACTAACGTTACATGTCACATATCGAAATTCACAGGAATCTACAATCCATTCTGGTAATCTTATAGTGGATATGACGGCAAGAGAAAATGTATGAGGAGAACCTTTAGCTAAGTGAGCTCAAGTAGCTGTGTTCCCCTTTGATGATGATAAGGTGGATGCATTCTCAGTCACATCACCTATTGCTTTTTGTTTCATCTTTAACATCTCAAGGAGCTTGTGATCCTCACAGGTAAAGATAACCCCTATCTCTCCTACGTTCTCCATTGTCATCAGATTTGCCCGGTAGTCCCCTTCCACCCTATCGGCCTTCACGATTATAACTACAGTCTCTAGACTGTCCACGTCCACCGGTCTCTCTCTCCTTCGGTGGATTTGGACAAGACTTGCTTAGGTGTCTCACTTTTCTATAGTTGTAGCACCAGCGGTCCATTCCTTCACTCGAGGTTGCCAAGGTTGATCGCATTCCACTCAACTCAGAGTGTAGTCTCATGTAACTCTAAAGATTGATCGTATACAAGAAACTGCATGGTCCTCATTTGTGCAAAGATCTCCCCCTTCTTGCACCAGGATCGTCACAGCTCAACATAGGTGAGAAGTGATCAAGATCTTGCCACAGTCGTTCCAGCTCCATGGAATACTCCTAAATCGATCTATCACTCTGTATCAGTACTCTATGTCATACTGAATCTGGTAACACCCACATGTGATTTTCAATCCTAGTATAGGTCCACTTCAGCTTTGCCCATATGTCATTTATCTTTTGAATGTCATCTACTGACAAAACAATCGACGGAGTCATCGAGTTGAGAAGCCAAGTGTAAAGTAAGGCGTGTGTTATCCTCCACTAATCCCCTTCAGCACCATCACCCTCTGGCTCAGCCTTGACTGCCATCAGATATCACTCTAATCTCTTCCCTACTAGAGCAATCTCAATACGACGCAACCAACTCAGATATGTGGCAGGTCCATCAAGCTTCACACACACAGAAGATAGATCTAGTTTCACCTGAGTCGGAGTAAGTGTTGAGAACCTGAGTCAGAGTAAGTGTTGAGAAAGTGGCTCCAGCTAAATCACTAGCTCTCTGTAAGAGCCAAATCAAAACCTTCAAAACTTCAGGATCTATCTTTCTCAGAAACTCCAATCATTTACTTCCCGTACTATCGCCTCCTGACATCCTCAATAACAAGCATCCAAATCTAGATCACGCACAACTTCCTCTTTCTGAATTGACCTTGATCTATTTCAACATCAAGGATCAAACTCAATTTAGCTATTATTTACTTTATATGCATGATCCAAAGCCTTTGTCAGATTCTGTTCCATTTGAAGCTACTTGAACCTCCCTATTCCTACGCATGCAGGAATCTGCACTTCTCATAGCAAACGAAAGGAATCAACCTTCGAAGCTCCCAATTTTCGTGATTAGGGCTCGCTCGAATGCAAAGATTGAATCGCGAGTTTCCCATCAGCGCTGCAAGAGTTCCTTCTCCACTTGGAATGCACGGGACATGTAAAACCTCCGAACTCCCCTCTTCCGCTCCTGCTCTCGGGAGAGCGGACGACGAGAAAGAAAGGAGCTTAACAGCCCTACTGCGATTCCGTCACCGCTTCCCTTGTGTGAGAAGCTGCCCTTCTACGATCCTGTCGCAGCAGTGCTCTTACTGCTCTGTCCTCGCTGCTCGAGCAACCATGGCAACGCATAAAAATTCTTGACACTTGGCTAGGGTTTGGCTTTGATACCAAATAGAAATTAATGCTAAAAAAAACCATCTTCATTTCATTAAAGATGGGCATATATAGATCCTTACAAGTTACGATATTTACAAATAAATCCCTAAACTTCATTTATTTACAAATAAAACCCTACATTAGATACAAATTCCAACAAATATTATTCAAGGTCTTTGCAGGATGAAGAATCCATTATAGAAAGATGATATATATATATATATATATATACATATCA